ACATACACCCTAAGTAGATTTTTTTATCAAGGTTTATTGTTTAACTCTCACCAGGAGGTGAAATTAGTAAGTAATAACAAGTATATATCAAAATATATCAATGGACACCCCCATTTTTATTACAATAGACTGTGTACCATTTTTATAACTTGATTTTGTAATAATCATTAAGGAGAGAAAAGGTTTCAAATATGGAAAATAAAACTCGGACTTCCCTTTCCCCAACATACATTCTGCTTAATTTATGTTTTATTAAATTTTAATAAACATATAAAATTGCCGTTGATTAGTTTAAAATGTTGCTTAATTCACAAGTTTATAAAGCATTATAAAGAAATAGTTAGTATGTTAAAGAAGTATGTTAAAGAAAAATATCATTTCCTTTAAAGTTAGGCGACCAAATATTATATGAACAGCGTAGATTTTTCGGTATCACGATATCCTTTGGATACAAGAAAGAAAGACAGAGCTCTGTCTTTCTTTCTTGTATCCAAATGATATTTTCAACTTTATCAAAAACTTCTTCCTTTCTTCTATCCAAAGGATATTTTCAACTTTATCAAAAATTTAAATATTATCAAAGAAAACCAAGAAACAAATAATAGTTTTTATGGATGCAATTATAAACAGCTTCTACTTGTTAAAACTCTCTAGAGAGTTATTACAAGTAGAAGCATAGTCAAGATTTGGTCGCAAAATAATTAGAATGTCTATATCCAGATTTTAGACTTATTAAGTATAAATTTTAATTAGCCATATTGTTTATCTTTTATGAGAATCACGAGAATCGTAAAGGAACTACGATGAACCACATAAAGGAAAAATGTTGTTTATTAAGTGTTTTAATAAAAGCTATTACTGATAATTCTTTGGATGTTCTAAATTATAAAATCAAAGCAAAATGGTATATAAAGTCTAAATGGTTTAGTTGAGCTTTTCACACAGAGTCTATGGTAAACAAGTTTGTTATAAATTCTTATGAGTTGTGTTTTAAATAAAAATCAAATATAATAAAAGTATAACTTCAAAAAATGTCTAAGCTGCTTTTTTGATAAACAGCTATTTTTATAGCCAGACATCTTTGTAAAAACATTACAACGCATTGTACAGTTATTACAATAAGTTTTTTGATTCTAAGTATTTATAAAGTTTATTTATAGTTAAAAGTTATTTATAAAGTTATATAAAAAAATTTACATAGCAAAATCTTGTATTTAAAAAATTAAAACCTGTATATATTATACATTATAATGTAAAATATATACAGGTTACAATTTTTTAAATACAAGACTTTGTTGTGTAAATTTTTTATATTTTTTTAGGTAAGCCTAAAAAGAGCTACGCCCCCTTCCGCCTCCCTATTTATTAAAAAGGGGGAGGGGACCGGATTTTGATTAAATTGAGTGTATTTTATTAAAATGTTTTAATAATTCTTTAAATGACTTATAACTATGCTAAAATTGTCATTAAAGCTCGAAATATGATTTTTTTTTTTTGTATTTAGGTGCTCTCAGAAGTCCTTGCGGTCTTATCATAGAGCACCGCGGGAGAGCATTTAACAGGAAGTTCGCGCCTCCTTCCGTACCAATGTCGCTTGTTGGGCTAGAGCTGGCCTCAAACCTCGGACCTCTGGGTTCTGAGCCAGAACTCTAACCTCTGCGCCACTGCTGCTCAATAATTTTTGCTAACTAATTATAGAAATTATAACCTGTATATATTTTATACTATAATGTATTATATAAACAGGTTATAATTTTTTAAATACAAGGCTTTGCTGTGTAAATTTTTTATTATAACTTTATAAATAACTTTTGATTATAAATAAACTTTAACAAAGTAACGTAACAAAATATGATTTTTGCTAACTAAAAAAATTATTTTATGATAAAAAAAAATAAATCTATAAATAAAGATGAATAAAGAATCTTTTCATCCAGTATTGGTTTAAAAGTGCATTTTCATTTCGAATCTATTTCCAACAAGACGGGGCTCGTACACACTACTCCACTGATGTCAGCGCTTGGTTAAATGAGAAGTTCCAAGAAAGATGGATTAACTTGGTCCAATCGAATGGGCTGCTCGATCTCCAGATATGACATTATGTAATTTTTTTTATGGTGTATGTTAAACAGAAAGTATTTCAACAAAAAAGAACCAATATTGACAATTTAAAGCAAGAAATAATAAATGTAATCAATTCAATTACCCGTAATACTATATACGATATATAGGATATCATATTAACGATGCGGTTTATCGATCTATATTGGCAACTGAATTTGTTCTACTCTTAGTTTTTTTTTAATTCTTTTGGCGAAGCGGTTAAGTTAAGTGCTTATGTGTTTCAAAAGTTTAAGTAATTTTTCAATTTATTTCTTTAATTTATTTATCGTTCAATTTATTTTTTCCTTTATGAAAGGACGAATTTTTTTTAAATGTTGGCAATGTAAATCTACTGTCGTGAATACAAATCAAAAAAGCTTTTTTATTTTTTTATTTTTTATAATCGAAAGTTTCTGAAATTCAAAAACTGATCATTATAAGTAAAAAACAAAATGGATCCCGTACTGAACAGTTATTAAAATTATTTTAATTGATTAATAAATAATGAAATATTAAAATTATAAAACTTTTCTTTATATTTAACTTTGATATATATGTTTAATTTATTGCAAAGGCTTATAATTTGTTGTTTTATTTATTTGACTTATTAAAGGCACTGTAAATAAAGATATAAAATTGTAAATTTATATGTCTTGGACTGCTAATTTTAATGCTCTCTTTTAAAAAAAAAAATTTAAGTAAAAAAAACTTTATTTTTTACTCCATCAAAAAATTTCATTTGTAGTGAAATAAAATTACATTTGTAGTCAATAAATATTTAATTAATTTTAATTTTGATCTGCTTTTTTATTTGTAACTTTTTAAAATTAGGCTGAAAAATCTTTTACTCCCCTATATGGGAGTAAAAAATTGATAATATATATAATTTTGATAATATAAACATTATCAAAATTTTTATATTATATTTTACCTATACTACAAAGTGATATATATATATATATATATATATATATATATATATATATATATATATATATATATATATATATATATATATATATATATATATATATATATATATATATATATATATATATATATCTATATATATTTATAAGTACATAATAGAATAATATATATATATATATATAAATATATATATATATATATATATATATATATATATATATATATATATATATATATATATATATATATATATATATATATATATATATATATATATAGTATATATATATATTATATATATTATATATATATATATATATATATATATATATATATATATATATATATATATATATATATATATATATATATATATATATATATATATATATATATATATATATATATTATTTTATTATGTACTTATAATTACTTTATAAACTAATTTTTGTTTACACTTGTATAAGATTCTAACAATAAGATCTACTGATCTTCTTTCAGTTTTTCAAATGTTAGTAGTATTTGCTTACTTTATAAATTGTATTAATTTTATCTACTCTCATTATATTGTAAAAACGAACTAACAAATGTAAAGAAAAATGTTTAAAAAAAAAACGCTACATTATTTTGAGTTTTAATTATTTGCAGATGTTAACTCAGAACTAATAGAGTAAAGCAGATAACATTTCAGAATTTTTAGCAAACACTGATTTTGGTACTATGCTAAGGTGTATACGAGATCTAAACTTTTTATGTTAAATGATACCAGTCGGAAGTTGCTTTTTTTGATGCTTTATTTATTTGAGTAAATATGTTATACCATTATAAATATCAATTCAAGCAATGGCTAAGTTTTTTAATTATTTTTATTACAACTATGTTAAAAATTTATTTTTAATAGTTTGATATAGTTATAAAAAAGCCATGTTTAAATAAAAATGTGACATGTTTTATTGTTTGATTTTGTGTATTTTTTCAAAAATATCTAAACTATTCGCTAATTGGAAAAAACTTAACAACACTTTGCAATAATTGAACCATACCATCTATAGCTCAGTACAATCGTGTAAGCATTTGTTAAAGAACAATTACGTTATGAAAATTTAAAAAAAATTTCACTGGTTACATTAAAAAATCTGTCACTAAGTTTAGACTTTACTCTGGTGAAACTTATTTTATTACAGTTTAAAATTTTATTTAAAAGTTACATATTAAAAAAGTCTGACATTTATTGCAATTAAATGTTGATGTCTCCGACTGTTTTGTTGATATTGATCATTCATCTCAAAAATGTGAATATTATATAAAAAAAGAAATCTATCAACATTATTCATTAGCTTGACTTTGACTTGTCTTTGTTTTACAGCAATAAAAAAGATTATATTTCAGGATATGTTACAAGAAAATATTAGGCGTTCATTTTATAAGTAATAAATATATATTATGTACCGTGTTTATCATGACTCTATAAGGGGCTTGGTGATCATTTTATAAACAAATACTGTTAAAGTTAAACTAAACAAATACAAGACAAGAGTATCAGAAAAACTTTAAACACTGCTTAACACTAAAAACATCTCGTGAGCTCTATTTTATATAGGAGCTTCAATTTTTTTGTGTATTTTATGTAAAGATACTTGATTGCCAAATTCAACCAAATCATCTGCGAGTTGCTATGGCTACAGGCCTTAATAATTGAATAATCTGTTTAAAATAATGAAGATTATCATCAAATTCATTTTTTTGTGTGGTATATAATGATTTTTATACTTTTACGAGACATTTATAATTTCATTACATGTGAAAAGAATAGGGTAATTTTACTATATTTCTTAAAATAGATATAAGTTATATTATTAGATAAAACATTAGACTTATAAAATTAAAGACGTTTTTCAGAAATCTTCCTTAAAAGTAAACGTGCTACCCTTCTACAACCTAATTAAAGAGAATATTAACGTACTTACATAAGCTTGGTATATAACACGGTTCCTAAATTATAAAAAATATATGCTACCAAATACAAGTGTGAATATATAATCAAGCAAAAAATAAAATGTACATAAAATTTAATAAATTTTTTACTTTTTGAATTTAATAAAAAATGTGAAAATGATGTCATGCACATTGTATATTTGAAATTACATAACAAATGGAGTAAAATAATTAAAATTCGTGCGAAATTAAATAACAACATGAGTTCGGAAAGTAATTACTTTTTATATTACAAGTTATATTTAGAGGAAGGTGGGGGTGGGATGGGGAAGCGGTACTTCGATGGAGACAAATTAATAATTAAAGAAAAAATAAAGATATTCATAAAAAAATAAAGTCATCAAACGTAAATAGACTCTATATTTTTATGAAAAAATTTTATTTCTTAAATTTTTAGTTTATTCCTGTCATTTTCCCTCTTTCCTCTATATTTAACACACGCATAGTAACGCTTTTTAGATTCCTCAAAGAAATTGCGATAAGGACTTAATGGTACAGCTTTGAACTCTTCTAGTGGTGAAATCTTTATCTTTAAAGATAAGTTTTTATCTTTAAAGAATAAAATCAAATGATATTAAGAATTTCAAATATTTTTGATATTATCTGCAAAGTTAACTATGTTTTACAATAATTTAATTTCAATATGCAGACCCTCTTTGTAAATTATTTTACATTTACGTTATTTATAACACTTTAATATATATTATGACGTTGCAAAAAAATATTTATTTTAACTTTGAATTTCGATCTGTTTAAAACCCAAAACATCACATTTTGTCATTTTTATCTTTAGTTCATTTTTTTTTTCATGCCTAAAATATCTGAAAAAATTGCATGACATAAACCAACTGATATGCCAACAACCTAAGCAACTTGTCTAATAGTAGTTCGACAATTAATCGAAAGAGCTTTTTTTTTAAAACATCAATTGTTTAATATTTTACTAACTTGCTAGAGCGTGCATAGCAAGGTACATGGTTGGCATTTTCTTTATACCACTTATGAACAATTTTTTATCAAGTTTAAAATAATCAAGTTTTTTTAACGATTTTTTTACGTTAAATAATATATATATATATATACATATATATATATATATATATATATATATATATATATATATATATATATATATATATATATATATATATATATATATATATATATATATATATATATATATATATATATATATATAAATATATATATATATATATATATATATATAAATATATAATAAATATATAAATATATATAATATATATATATATATATATATATATATATATATATATATATATATATATATATATATATATATATATATATATATATATATATATATATATATATATATATATATATATATATATATATATATATATATATATATATATATATATATATATATATATATATATATATATATATATATATATATATATATATATATATATATATATTAGTAAGTTTTTTGTTTAAAATTTTTTATTTTTTATTTTGCATTTATATACAAAGTGTGTTCAAAAATGAGAGATGAATTTTTTACAGATGTCCCAATAAAAATTATATATGTTAAAAAAATATATATGTTAAATATATTTTTATTGAGGCATATATTTATATGTAAACCTATGTTTACATATAAAATTTATATTTATGATTTTTATTGAATTAAAAACTTTAAGTACGTGCTCGCAGGCTTGCTTCAGTGTGTCTAAATGTTTTCATTTTTTAAATGATTATGTACCTTATCAGATGATTTTTTATCCGCATCTTCAAATAATTCTGGATCGGTTGCTAAACAAATTTATAAGTTTAAACTTATTTAAAAATTTTGTATTTATAACAATAGTATATATTTTATAATTTTTATACAATTATAAATTATAAAGATAACAAAGTTATATTTTGTTTACCTATATACTATATATAAAAATAAACAACTAATTTTTTGTGTACCTTAATTTGGGTAGCATTACCTCGAAATTGAAAAATTGATTTATCTCGAATCTTTGGTTTAGATAGCAGTCTCAAAATTACAGATTCATCTCAAATTTATTTTAAAACTTTTTTCGATTCAGAAAAAAAGGATAGAAGCTAATATGATTAGCATACAGGGTTAACAAAGATTTTCAATAAGGTTAACAAAAACCTACCCTTACCGCAATTAAATTTCAAATTTTTTTTTATAAACTATTTTTATATTTTTTAGGTAAGTTACCTTCACTATAGCTTAGAAGCCTTAACTGCACCGTATAATCATTAAAGAATAATGAAAGAAATTATTGTTGCGCCGGCCAAAACCCTCAGTTAGTGTAGCAGCACTTCTTTGCGGCAGCAGGCTTTAAGATGTCAATGTATGTTCTGAAGTCCTTTTCTGTCTAATCATTTTCGAGTATAATAAATGATTTTTCATGTTGATCAAATAAAGTTCGAGATAAATTCATATTTTTTTTGAAATATGGTTTGCTTTCTTATTAATTTGTTACAAATAAATAATAATAATATCGTTTTTATATATAAATTATTTTTATATTAAACTTTATATATACAGTGGGCGGCCAAATTATTCGTTACAATTTTTTTTTTTTTACAAAAACTGCATTTAAATAAGGGCTTTAAATAAATAAACTTGCTTTTATTTTTAGATTTTTTGAGATTTTAATATCAATAGTTTACTAAATTTTTTCATTATGTTGTAGCATTTATAAATAATTGTGGTAATTAAAGGTGGTAATTTATCGATGAATATAAGTCTAGTTGAAAATAGTACAAAAAATATTTCATCAACTTGTTGCTCTCACGTTTGCGCATGGGGGGGGGGGGGGGGAACAAAATTTTAGAGCTTTTTTGTTTCCAAGCTCCAATCATCACAATTTTTTGCAAAGCATCCTTATTTGGCATAAGTATAAACATATAAATGTTTGGAGTTTGCTCCATGTCTGGAAGTTAGCTATCTCAAAGACCAAAAAAAGCAACAGGCGCCACTGAGGAGATGTAAAACACCCTCTAAAGATAATGGTGTGGTTAATTATAAGTGGTAAAGGCAGAAGCTTTTATATAGTTATATAATTTATATATATTTAGAGTCAAAAAATGTTACTGTTTTATCATGGCCTAAACCTAACCCAATTGAAAACGCCTAGGAACTTTTAAAGGTGATAATTGGGCACAAAACTATAATCAACAAAAAAAATCTCGAAGAGGCACTAAACAATGCCTGGCTAAATGATCACAAATTAAAAGCAAAAGTAAAGAATTGCATCCAAAGTATGCCAAGAAGAATTCAAGCAGTAATTGATAGAAAAGGCGGCCCAACCAAATACTAAAAAATATTATATATTATGAGTTTTCTCAACTAAATTCTTTAAAATAGTAAGAGTGCTTAAAATAGTTTCACTTTTTAAAGAAAAATATTCATTTAAGTCAGTAGTACTAATATTCATATATAAATTTATCATAAGAATACGTAAAAAAGCTTATAATGGTTAATATATGGCCGACGACACGGGTTTTGAAGTGAAAAAGTACAATTTTCAAGTCCTTTAGAAAAAAAACGGCCCCCTGGCCCCCAGATGTCGTTGACCCTCTAATATGATAACTTTTGCAAGTGCAACTGATAATTTGGCTGCCTACTGTAATAACTATATATATTCAAATAAAATAAATTTAATATAAATTTATTTTGTTTTAAAATAAATTTAACTATCAAAGTTTAAAGTTATTATGTTTTGTTATTAATATGCATTTCAAATGTGTTTCATAAAATACAGTTATTTTAAATTAAAAGTAAACTTTAATAAAAACGTAAATTAAAAGTAAATTTTAAAAAACGCACTTGTGCATAATGGTGGATTTTTTAAAAATCTATCGTTTAAACTGGCAGCAAGAAAAATTTCAACATCAGTGTTATCTCGCCAGCAGGTATTCTGTGCGTACTTTTTATTTCTACAATGTTCTGGAAGATTTGGATTTTTGTTTCGGGAAGTATTTAAATTCTGGTTAACACTTGATAAAGTTAAAAATCCAAGATTTATAAAAAGTAAACAAAGCTTGAAATGTAAACGATGCATGAAGCAATCTAAATAAAAATTGCTTTTTAAAAATAATTGTTAAATACTTATTAATTATTTTTTATAGTTTAATTAAGGGTGTTTCAATATTTTTTAATTCGTAAACGATACTTTTTCTAAACCTTGAGTAGTTTTTTGCTTCACAAAAAAACTCGCAAGATGTAAATTTAACCATAAAGTTTATAACAAAATGTTAAAGCTTTATGCTTAATTGTTATAAAACTTTATGCTTAAATTTAATTTAACAAAAACAAAGATAAAAATTAAAGTTTAAATTAGAACAAAGTGCATTTTAATGGCCGGGTCTTATTAAGAGCCGAATTATGGTCTCCTTTTATTGTATATATCTATTTGGCGATATATTTATCTTATTGAATAATATAACCTTGTTTTTACTCAACGTGTCCATGTTTTATTTCAGCTGTTATAAATGTTTCTATCAATCTTGATTAATAAAAAATCTTTTTATCAAGTTTAGTATTACTCTACCGGTCAGTTTTAGAAAAGATTTTATACCGAAAATAGTCTTTTTAGTTTTTTTAAGCAACATTGAGGCGCATTTGACGCCATGTTTTTTCAGGTATGGTCATGGGATATATTTTGAAGGCTACTCTGGAAAGCCTGAGACAAATTTTTTTAAGTCGCGCTATTAAAAGGACAATCGATGTGCTATTAGAATATTTTTTTAATCATATTTTACCAACTTGTTAGGTGTATAAAATAGATCGTTGGGTGGTGATAATTTGACACCATAGTGAAGTGAAGTGCATGTATGACCTAAGTACAGTCTAACGAAACAAAAGTACAATATTAATATTTTTTTATTTTCAAATGCGATAGAATTTAGCAATATAATCATATTTATACTATTTTTATTATTGTCGATGGTGTCAAATAATTTACAAAAGATAGAAATTTCACACTTTATTTTAAAAGTTTAAAAGAAAAAAATAAATATTAGGATAATTACAATAACTAATAATAAATAAGAAATTGGTTATAAAAAAACTGAGAAACGTACGAAAAGAAAAGTTATTTATTTACCTTAAAAAAAATATGGCCACAAGCCGAAGAGCCTATTTTTTTTTGAAGGGTCTGGGGCTGCAGCCTTATCAAACCCTGCTTTAATACGGCACAGTGTCTATGTATTTATGTGTGATAACGTCTATTTTATAATAACATATGTGCATAAGATGTATCTTAGGTCAACTATTCCAGTTTTCATACTGTTGCTTTCAGTTGATTTTAATAATCATGGGGAAAATTATTAAAAGAACAAAATAAAAAAGTTTAAAGTAAATTACTTCTAAATATTACTTAAAGTTGACAAAAAAAAACTTTAAAAAGTAAAATAAAGTTAACAGATTTAAGTGGTCCAATATTGATATGAAAAGTGCGATTACAATTAGTGGGAATAGTTTATTGTCACAACGAGAAGCTTCAGTATTCCCCCGTCAACCCTTCTTAAATATTAAAAAAAAATTAATGTTTAGTTCCAAACCTGGACCAACTGCAATATTATCTAGCAAATTAGATTAGAAGTTAGTTAAAAATGCAGCAATAAGAGCTTTATTTGGATTTCAATTAATTGATATTTAACATAATTTGAAAAGATATGCTTCATATTCGGTAATGAAACACAGACTAAGTTTGACACATTTAGCTCCTTCCGAATAATGGTTGCGTTTGTTTAATCAGCGACATAAAAATTTAGTTTTGAGAAAGCCTGAAGGTACTTTAATAATTTGTCATCAAAGCATGTTTGCAACAAAAACAGGAAAAAATTTCAATCACTTTATGAAGTTTTTAAGGAAACCTTTTTAACACTTTTGAGGCCTTCTTTGATTTGGAGTATGGAAGAGTTTGGGCTACAGATGGTTTTTAAACCTTCAAAAATTATTGCAAAAAAAAAAGTGATAAACACCTTCAATCTCGCAAATCTGAAAAACATGTAACCTAAACCATTATTGTCGCTATAAATCCTCCAGGTGGTTTAGTTTCTCCACATTTGATAGAAAAGGTAAAACAATTAGATCTCTTCAATCTTTTAATACTTCAAATGCACCGCATAGCTCCAATTGTAGTTTTAGTGAAAGTGCTGGGCAAAGCAAGGGATTGCATTTTCACATTTGCTCCAGCCTGTAGATAACACATTATTTAGTCCATTTAAAAATTATTTCAATCAATTTTTTTATAATCTAAAGAATGATTACCCTGGAGTTTTTTTTGCCCTTCCATCTGATAATATTAACTTATGGGTTTCGAAAATGTGGTATTTATCCATACAATCCGTCTGCTGTTACAAACATAGCTTACTTGCCTAGTTCTGTCTAATCCATGCAAAAGTTACTTGACGAGAATGATCTGTTTGAACCAAGTCTTCGCCCAAAACTGACAGTAGAATAACAACATCAGAAAACGCAATTGAAGAGGAAGTTGATTTTGAAGTAGAATCAAGCATAAATAAATTTGCAATTATGTCTGAATATAAAATAGCAAGTGTACTGATTTGGTAAACCTAGAAAATAGTACTGCTTCTTTGATACAGAATACTTGTTTAAAAAATTAACATTTTAAAACTTTAAATTTCTGTATCCAAAATGGCTATAACATCCCAGGTCCTTTGTATAAAGTATATAAAGAATTCAAACTGAAGAAGAGTTCATGCACAGAAGACATTTTAGAAAAAGGTGATTCTGTTCCACCACCATAAGAAACTATAGTTCCTCCTTTACCAATTCTAAATGAAACCATTGTTTAGCCATTGGGAAATAAGCTATTGACTATCAAGCGACTAGCTAGCTTTATAGCGATTTTTAGGCGATGCTTTTTTTCTTATTTTATTTTTTCCTAATGTCTTTAACATCTTTATAAGTTCAATTTTTAGTGTTGAGTTTATTTTGATTATGAGAATAACTGAACTTTAAACATTGCGATTTTGTAGGAATATGTCGCTAACTACATATCGTAGCTTTGTAGCTAGCTACAAAATATCTGCAAATCTATAGCTGGTTGATAGATACATATCAAAATTTTTTCTAGCTACAATAACTAGTGGGTCTTTAGCTTATTAAGCTAGCAATCCTCGTTGCCAAATTGCTGTCTTTGTTTTTACATATATAGTTAGCTTTTCACCAGCTTAAAAAATCTAGTGATCCTTGAGATCAAATTGCTGTCTTTATCATTACGATTATAGCCAGCTATTCGCTAGCCGATTTCCCACCGGGTAATTTCTGAAATATTTAGCCTAATAAAATAACTACCCATTTCTAGTTATTTGAGCAATCAAACCAAATTTTTGTGTAATCAGATGCCAAATGAAGCAATTATTAAGCCTTGCCTGAGATAAATTCAGTAATGCACGTTACAATGACTGTAATATTTTGCCTTATTCAAAGATAAACAAAAATTTCTTATATCTTAACTTGGAATTGATATTATCTAATCAATATAAAAACAGATATAATTCTTTTAGAAATAAAAAAAACTTTTAACTAAAAGTATTTTATAATTATCTCTATAGTGGTTTGAGAAGAAAGAGTTCTTAGGTCTGGTGAACAAAAAAGAGCAATTGCTTTTACTCAGTAATTGGTCAGCTTTACGTGAATAAAAACTTTAACAATTTTGGTTAAGTTTTTATTTACGTAAAGCTGACTAATTACTGAGTAAAAGCAATTGCTCATTTTATTTACCTGGCCTCTTGTAAATATTAAAGCTTGAAAGCAACATAGTGTTAGCTTAAACGAATATAAAAAAAAAGTTAATACTAAACAGTGAAATTATAGTTATAATTATATAAATTTTATATAATTATATAAAAAGTTATTATTTGAACAACTTGCAAAGTCAATAAAAAAATATTTCCTCTGCCCTTTGGATATTAAAGTAGTTTTTTACTCAGCACTTATGAACAAGGCCGGCGCGATAGGGGTGTGTGGGGGTGTCACACCCACCATGAGTGATTTTCAGTCGGCAAATTAGACCCTTAGTCGGCAAATTGGACCCTTTTAGACTAGGTAGTCGGCAAATGTCGACTCGCGCCGGCTCTGCTTATGAAACAAACATAGAAAAGCATTAAATCAATTCAAATACTTTTTTGTAAAAAGATAAAAAATTGAAATTGAATTCAAATTCAAATTAAGTAAAAAAAAAAAAAAAAAAGTAAATTAATCACAGCAACAACACCACAGGTTCATGGTATAAAACCAAAGGGGTAAAATGGGGCATAGATTCCCTGTTATTATTTCCCTTTGTTCTTTTCACTTTGGTGCATTTTAGGAATACTTGTGTTAGGTTTTTATTTTTCTAATAATAAAAATTAGTTCACCAATTGCTTTTTTTATTTTATAGATGTTTGTTAAAATGGTATTACTAATAATAATACATAATAATACAAAATATTTTATAAATATTATTCATAGACATTACTATTTCTAATTTTTTTTTATTTTTCTTTGTTTTTACTATTAGAAGCCTGGGACTTTAAGTATTATGCATACTATTGTGATTATTAAAAAAAAAAAATTATAAAAAGAAACATTTTTAATCATATTTTAGGCTACTGAAATGTTCAAGTATATATTTTTATAATTTTATATTTTGTGTGCTAACGTTGCAATAGCTTTAAAAAGATTTTCGAAACGCTATACTCTAGTTAAAAATATTTAATGACTGCTAATTTTCATTGAAAATATATTTAATATGAGTTATAGAGATATAATATTTCACTTGAAATACTCACAAGCAATTTATTATCAAAAAAGTAACTACATAACTTGTGAAAATTTTGCCAACTTACCTTAAAAGCCTTTTTTTCAGTAAACAGTCTATAGATCCTAAAAAAACGGCAACTTTAAAAAAAAGTCTGACTGTAAATAGTAAACCAATGGTAACTGAAATTTTTTCAACAACTTTTTTTTAAATGATTAACTATTTTTCTTCTAAAGTAAAAAGGATGCGATGTTCCAAAAGTTACGTTTTTTTCCAAAAAACACATAAATCCCAATATCTCCCATGCGCATGCGCGAATCCTAACAATACTTCAGTAAATGATGAAATGGTCATTTAGAAAAGTTAGATATAATTCTTGGAAATTTCTGATGAAAGGTTTTGAAGATAAACGCAGTTCTTCAACTTACCCCTGCTGCCAATTAGCCCCGGTCTTCTATTAAGCTATTTATTAAGCTATTTTGAATAACTTTCTTATGGAGAAAATCAAATTAATATGAAGCTATTTTGAGTAACTTTCTTGCAAAAATCAAAGACAATGTCTTACAATTTATTCAAATGCTATTTGATGGTAAAACAATGTATAAAATAGGGTTTATAAAGTTATTTTTTAAGAAGGTTTCAAGGATCAATAAAAATTCTTTTCAAAGAAAATTTTTACACATTTTTTGCGTTTGGTAGTTGTTTTTACTTTAGGAAATGTTGAGATATTACGCTATTCATAAACCAATTCAAACCACGCTTCAAATAGCAAATCAATATTTTTGTCGTTAGAATGAAAATGGTAAATGTAGCAATAATCACTAACTTGAAAAAGGGGACATGTTATGTGAATTTTTGCAGGAGATGTCTCCTTTCTCAAGTTAGCGATTCAGATAGAAAAACACTCACGTAACCTTTATTTTGAAATTAGTGATCGAATGTCACAGTAATCTGTAATATTTTGAGTTAATAGTGGTAAAAAACTAACAATATATAAACTAAAACTGCCATTAATCCTTAACCAGTAAACCCAAGGAGGTTTAATAAACAGAAGACGCCGTGGTATATACTTGGTATAAACTACGGCGGCTGACTTTCAAAACTGGCGGTGAAGCCAATACACCAGTTCGAGCCGCGTTACGGAGAGTTAAAAGAAAAGACTGGATCGAGTTTATAAGGGAAACAAATCAAGTCGTAAAATTTAATTCTTGAGTAAACGAAGTATAAACAAACAACTAAAACAAATCCTATCACTATTAAAACAAATATATAACATATATAAATCAAAATGGATTATGATACAGTGTGTAGTATGAAGGTTGAAGAACTGAAGTCTTATTTACGTCTTCGTGGCTTGAAAATATCTGGAAAGAAAGAAATTCTTGCAGCTCGAGTCTATTGTGCAATGGAAAACAATGTTACGCCTATTAAAACAGCTGAAGAGGTGGAGCATGATATACTTACTTAGTACAAAAAAAAACTTTTTATAAACGGCGTTGAACTACCTGATCCTTTTAAGCTTAGTAATGGTTGGTTATCAGAAGATGAAGGTCTAACTTGTTGGCCAACATTGTTATATCCTGATATTTACAATTATTTGTTATTTAACCCTGCTGAAATTGCAAGTAAAGACTTAAGTGACTACAAAACGTGTAAAGCTTATAGTTATTTTAAATGTGGCTGGCTTGAACCTTTATTTTACCATCAAATAGGAATAGAGAGTGAATATTGCTATTTAAAAGGGAACTGTAGGAAATCTGAAAAAATTAATGATCCCTTTCACAAGCTATGGATTATTATTAATAAAAAAACTGCTAAAATAATTTCAGCACATTGCACTAGTCTAGCTGGTCTATCGCAGACATGTAATCATGTTGCTGCAAGCCTCTTTCGAATAGAGGCTGCTGTTAGAAATGGTTTGACAAATGTAGCTTGTACTAGTTCAAAATCAGAGTGGCTTCCAAATCGTAGCATAGTAGCACCAACAAAAATATGTGACTTAAAATTTGATCGTGATGAATTTGGTCAGCGTGGAAGAAAAAAGCGTTCACTAGTATCAAATGAAAAGCGTAATTACAGCCCATTAGTAAACTGTGATATAAAGCTTTTAAATTTAACAGACATAGCAAAAGCAATCGAAACTGTTGCTCCTCATAGCATTATAACTTCTGCTGTACCTAAACCTGAAATTTATTATATGGAAGAATTAATCGTGTTTGAAAATGTTACCAAACCTACAATTTTGACCATGGATGATATTATTGTTATGTCAGACAATAAATTTTCTTTTTGTGAAAATATAAAAACAAATATGACTCAAAAAATAATTACAAATATAGAGCGTCTGACTATGGGTCAAAACACAAATAAGCTTTGGTTTAATTTTCGAAAGCGAGTTATAACTGCTTCAAAAGCTCACGATGTTCTAAAAAAAATTAAAAAGATTAACATGGGCATTAAAGTTGACATGTGGTCATTACACCAAAGTATTTCAGGGTTAACTTTTGTGAACCCAGATATACCTGCATTGAAGTACGGGAGAGCGATGGAAGTTGAAGCAGCAAACCAGTTTTTTGAAGTTATGAAATCCTTTCATCAAAATTTAACTGTAAATGAATGTGGATTATTTTTAGATGTAGAAATGCCCTATATAGGTGGAAGCCCTGATAGAATTGTTCGATGTTTGTGTTGCCCGCCAGCTTGTTTAGAAATAAAATGTCCATTTTCTATAAACCATACATCACCACAAGATCCTAATATATCTCTTCCTTATATTACAAAAAAGTTAAATGAAAAATTTGTCATTAACAAAAAGCATAGATACTATACTCAATGTCAGGTTCAAATGGGGACTGCTAAGATGATTAATTGTTATTTTATGGTATGGACAGCTCATGGTTATATAATTGATAAAATTGCATTTGATGAAGCTGGTTGGTTGAGTATGAAAGTTGATTTCTTTAAGTATTACAACGATCATTACTTAAATACTGTCTTTGTAGATTTTACTATTAACTGATTGGAATAAAATTATGAAAATGAAAATCTGTGTTTTAAATTATAAAACCCTTCTTATATTTAAATTGGCATTTATAGATTTTTTTTTTCCTATAAAAGAAGACAATAAGATCCAAATAATGGTGTAACAATATTTAGGTAAAGAATATACTCAAAATCAAAAAGTTTATCCACGCCTCTTATTATAGTAAAAAGAAGTAATAAAATGAAACACATGTATTCATTAAAAGTGCACGGTGGTGTCCGGCATCCCTTACAAGTAATTAAAAATTAAAAAAACAACCTCAGTAATTAAATAAAAAAATACAACCTCAGTACTATCGTGTGTTTAATACAAGAAGGGGAGGAAGTTTAGTAATTTTCCAAAAGTTTTCCCACCCACAAATGTTTATTAAGACTACTCCCCCTCCCATCTATTAACACCAAAAATTAAAAAAATCTCTTTAATCTTTGTGGAAAATAATGTTTTGATTTTAATAAAATAAACTTTCCTCACTTTATACACAGGGTGGCCACAGCTCCTCTAAAGTATTATTGTAATTATAAAACAGTTGTTAAAGATGCACAGTTGACCACAATCCACACTAACTTAAATTGATTTATGCAAGTTCTGTAAAAAAAAAAAAAAGCCAACCCTTAAATTAAGATTATTATTTATAAGGTCAGAAATAAAATATACACCCTTTCTTGTATTAAGCATTTAAGAGTAGTACTAAATTAAAAAATATATATACATTTTAAACAATTTTTTTTATTAAAGCAGGCTTTAAATTGAACAAAGCTGCACACGATAAAATAATATCATCCATATGATGAAGCATTGAAATAGGTAATACATTTTTTAATATTCGAAAAGTTTTTATTCTGTTTATAGCCCTTTCTATGTGAATTCTTAAGTTAGCAACATCAGTAGTCTTCTTACATTCACTTGCAGTCATTTGACTTTTTACTCTTGCACCTGGTGGGACTGATAAGCTGCAATAACGAAATAATAGTTCTTCTCTTATTTGAAATCCTCTGTCTGCCATCACCTCATCGTCTCTTTCCAACAGATCATAAAAACCACTGTCACTTGTAATAAATTTATCTGATGCTCTGCCACCGTAACATTTGGATAGAAACGTTATGTATCCATTTGGTGCTATACCAATTAATACTTTCACAGTGTTGTGATGCTTATAATCAGACCAAGTCACTGCTTGGTTGTAAAGGGACTTTGGACGTTCAATAAATATTTCAAAACAATCAAGAATCACTCTACACTTGTGATGCTTTGCTTTCACAAAAGACTGTGGCAAGTTTTTTTTTATGACTTCACTTGGCAGCCAAACAATAATAGCTTGTCCAAGAATATTAGCAATAATTCTAATAAAAGTTGTAAAAGTATTAGAACACAAAGATTTTGAAATACCAAAACGATCAGCCATATCTTCATTTAATAAACCTAAGCGCAACCGCATAAGTGTCATTAAAAGTTCTTCTCTGTGTGATAACAGTTTACATTTAGATACAGATTTGAGTTGCTTAACTTTGCTATGTGAATGTTTTGGGCCTCTCCAATAACGAATTGAGGGTAAAAATGGTTTTAATAAACCAAAAATAACGTTAAAAATAGCTATGGAAGATATACCAGTATAAAAGTTCATTTTCTTATCATTGTTAACTAATCTCCAAGAGAATTTTTGTTTAGACTTGACTGTTTGTTTTATTTTTAATTTTTTTAATTGATTAGTAAGGCTATTTACTTTACTCACGTAAGAGGTGATAAGTGAAGATTTGTATTCACATGAAGTACATTTATTAGGTAGTGGTAAACTCATTGAATAGGTATGGTCTGATAATATAGGTGACAAAACATCTGCATTAAAACTAACACTTGGAAACTTGGTGACATTACTTTTTTCAGTCAACAAAGGTTCTACAGGCTGCATTTTATTAGAACAATGTAAAGAAGTGATTGGGTGCTTTAATAATGTTCTTCTAGCTTTTTTTTGTACAGGTTGATCAAAACCCATATTTATTGTTGGATTAGGGTTCATAACAGTTGGTATTTTATCAACAAAATGATCAGAGCATACTCTATCAGCAGTTCCAGGTTCCCATGCACTTCCTTTCTTCTTTCCTTCTCGTCTAAGCTGACTAATCCAGTGTTTTCTTTTTTCGCTATTTCTCTTTAAACTTGGGAAACAAAACATTCGGAATGGTAACACACATCCACACTCGGATAATATCTTCCCTTCGTGTTGAAAACACGTTTTATTTTTCAGTTTTTCTAGCTTATAGGAACTATTGGTACATCCTATAACAGCACAATTAACTTTCATCTTATCACTATATATTGTATCACTAATTCGCAACTGAGAAAATAAATATTTACCCTTCTAAATTCGTTCCAGGACTTTTTTTTGCGCGGTATTAATAATGGCAGAACTTCCCTTGAACTGGTGTATTTTGAAAGTCAGCCGGTCTTGGTTAACCCAAAACATTGTTATGTTTTGCGCGAAACTTGATATTTTGAGTAGAAAACCTTGCTTAAATCAAGACAAAATATTGATATAAATGATTGAATAATTTGCCAGTTGTTTCAAAGGTTTTAGTATACTACAAAGAATCGTTTGCTAACTGATTATCGGGCTCAGTTAATTCCAAAATATTGGAATACTGAGTAGACATTTAGATGGTAAACATGTTTTTAGAAGATGCCATATTTTACACAGTGTGAACATCTTATAGAATAAAAAAAAATGTTTGTGAGTTTTTTTATTAAATGTTAACAAAATTAAGTGTACACATAAATAAAAACAAATATATTAAATATTCATATTTATCTTTTAATCTCTTAATTGTTATGTATATATACATATATGTATATATTTTAATAAACAAGATAAACTTTTTAATTAATAAAACCATTTTATTAATTCTAAACAATACATGTTTCGACTATTACTAGTCATCTTCAGTTGAAGTTAAATTTTTAAATTTGATTAAATACCTATATAGATGATTTTTACAATACCAATACAAAATGTAATTATCTGTGTTCAAACTATTAATTTAATTACAAAAATACAACAAAATCTATTATAAGAATAACAAGTCATACTAAAAAACGAATAGGAAGTGACGAAAGAATAGGTTAATAAAATTACATAGAAAGTAATAACTAAACAGAAAGTGTCATTTGGACATGGTTGACCTGTTTGTTCATACCAGGTTTTAACTATTCTATGAACATGCTTTCTTTAAGTTTTAATTCGAACTTATTAGATGCTGAATCTGAAACGGAAAAACACTTTTCATTTAATTGTATAAAACAATTTTCATTACTATGGAGATGTTTATAGATGTGATTTTTTGTCTCTCTTATAATGTTCAGTTATCCGTGTCTTGAGATGGCGAGTAGTTTCGCCTATATAACAGGAGTTACATTCTGCACATACGAATTTTTAGACCATGAACGATTTGAACTCTAGAGTAATAGGATCTTTAGAGGAGAAAAATTTAGTTTACATACATACATACATACATACATACATACATACATACATACATACATATATATATATATATATATATATATATGTATATACATATATATATATATATATATATATATATATATATATATATATATATATATATATATATACACGCACATATATATATATATATATATATTATATATATATATATATATATATATATATATATATACATATATATCATTTTATATAATTATAATGAAACCTACTGAAAGTTATAATGAAACTAATACAAACTAATAGCTATATGGAGATGCACATAGTTAAGCTTTTTCTGTGATCTTTTTGACCTGTAAAAATGAAAAAATTTTTGTGCAGTTGTCAACTCAGTGTGAAATAACAGCTTTATATGATCTTTGCTAAATAAGAGTGAGATAAATATATCAAAAATAAATAATAAAACTAGAAAAAAAATAAGTATGCTATTATTATGGTGATATGATACCATACTGAACTCTCAAACATTAGGGCTCAGATCTATTCTGTACATGAAGCTGATTTAGTAATTCTTCTTCTTTGAACACAACTGCTGATTTATGAGGACCCTTAAGGTTTTCTCCATATAGAGCAGTTTTCAATGTTTTTCAAATCTTGATATTTATTTTTTGACAGAATTCTATAAAAATATTGACTAGTAAAAAAAAAATCACCACCGTAATACTATATATGCTATTACTCTGGTGATTTTGTTACTTTATTAGTCAATATTTTATAGAATATATTTTAATGATATATACCTTTGGTTTGTGAAATTTTTTGTTTAGTGTAGCTTAACGTACCTATGAAAATTAATGCAATCTGCACAATATTTTGTGCCCATTGGCAAAACAAAGCAAGTCAAATTTTATCTTTTTATCAACTTTATAGCCTACATTTAGTATAAATTATGTAAAGTTAAAAAAAAAATATTTAACAAATATGTATTTAGTTGTAAGTTGCTCTGTCCTTTTAAGAATACTCTTCTTTGTAGGATACATTTAATATATATATATATATATATATATATATATATATATATATATATATATATATATATATATATATATATATATATATATATATATACACATATACATACATTATGTATGCATATGTATATATATACATACATTATGTATGTGTGTTTATATGTGTATTATACACATATAAACACACACACGCTTGTAAATATATATTTATTTTTAATTGTTTAAATATAGATAAAAAACTGACAAACAATTGGTTTTAATTTCTCAAGAATCTTTTATACTATCTGAAATACATTATCTTTTAGTCTATCTTCCATCTGAATGTTTATTTCAGTATTCCGAAGGTTCTTAGAATAAACTGAAAAAAGCAAATAAATAAACTAAAGTAATTCTTTATAAGATAGTAAAAGCTGCAAAACATAAATTGAAGAATAATTCATTTATTTGATGCAATTTTTTAACTAGAATTTAATAAATGTTTTAGTAAACTATTAAGTTCCGCGAAATGTTTTGGGTTAACCAAGATGGCGGCCGTTTTGAAAACTGGCTTCAAAAAAGTGACGTGACACTGTCCCTCTTAAGTAAACCAATCGACTGAAATTTTATTAAAAACTAAAATAACGGGAAAATAATGAAAAACTTACTTTAATCTAATTATATTCACATTTAGAATACATTAAAGTGATATAAATTTATATTACTAATATAATATATATATATATATTTTTCATCAGTATCGTACTGATAAAATATAGATTAATGCAATAGAAATATGGGAGATATTTACAACATTTTTCAAAAAAAACCTTTTTTTTTTTTTGAAAAAAGTTGCTATTTTTATTGAAAAATCTAAAGTTTTTTAATTTTTGAAAGTAGTAAGATTAAAAAATTGTATTAAGTAGTTTTTAATTTAAGTAATTTATTTTAAGTAATGAATCTATTAAGTGTTACAAAATTTTATGTCATATTTATAGTAAATAATAATGGTGTTACTATTATTAGTTATAACCATGCCAAGAAAATGTTCAATAGTTAATTGTACCACGAATTATTTAACATTAACTTCAGAAAAAAAGTTCATGTTTACATGTTTCTAAGTGACACACAAAAGTTACAATATTGGTTGTCATCTATTCCAAATGCGTTTGAAAAAGTAACTTCAAATATGGGTGTGTGTGAAAAACACTGGCCACCAGGCTGCAAAATGCACAAGCCTCCTCGATCAAAGTTTGAGTTAAGTATCCTTAAAGTTGTTTTTATTGATAAGTTTTACAATGACTAATTTTAATAATATATTTTTTTAGGTTCCTATTGATCCCCCATATATTTTTCCTGGATGCACATCTTCAATGGTGCGCCAAACAGTCTCAACACAACCAAGATCTACAAATATAAATAAAATTTCTTTAACATCACGAAATGCAATACCTGATGAAATGGATGATTTCAATCAAATTGATTTAATTAGATTTTATGATGTTGAAATAATGTTGTCTGAAATAAAAGAAAAGTAAAAATAATTTTTTTCTCTTGTTTTATGATATTTGTTTGTTTTGATTTAAAGTTTACTTGTTATTGAATCTGTTTTAGATATCCTCAATACTTTGCATTCATTGAAAAATGTCATATTGTTTGATGTTTCTCGATCATGTCTACCTGAAACAATATTTTCTGTTGAAATTAATTGTAAAATTTCACATCAAGTTAATATTTATTGTAGGCATACAAAAGTTAACTGCAATGACCTGCTTAGTTTTTCTCATTGTCTTACTCGGTGGTCACAGCTTGAAGCTATTGTCAATAGAGTTTGTACCTCTAGTCCTAAAATAAAAGATGAGGTATTAAGTTTAATTAGTCAAATTGAAAATACATACAGTGACACTTCTGAAGAAATTTCTTTCCTCATTGAACAACCACCACTTATTCTCTAAATGGACTGCACTTTTCTACTTTATGTATATCGTACACTTGAATTGTATTTGTCCTCCAGATGTTGTTATCGACATTTAAGAAATCTGCTTTGTTTGCCCAGTCCAAAGACTCATTTCAAAATTAGGAAGAGTAAGAGAAGTTGGAAATGAAAAAGAGTGCAGTAATACAATCAAAGTTGTTTTTGAAAATTTTAATAGTTCTGAAAAGCGTTGCTGCTTTCTCTTTGATGAGATGTATATTAAACCAAGTGTTAGTTTCAGAGGAAGACACTTCATTGGATATAGTGAGGACAATCCCACTAAAATTGCAAAAACGTTATTAGTCTTTATGATTAAATCTATGTTTGGTAAACCTTCCTTTGTTTGTAGAATTGTACCAATATTTAAACTGTCAGTACACTTTCTTCACGATTTGATTATAAACATAAATAAACAAATAATTGATGCAGGAGGAGAATTACTGTGCATAATAAAAGTTTTCCATGGCAAGGTGTTATAGAAAAAGAAAAACCAGTTATTATGCTACACGATCCAGTTCACTTGTTTTAAACTATAAGAAATAATTGGTTTACGGAAAAAACACAAACAATTAGTTTAAAAATTAATAATCAACCTCTCTCTGGTGATTGGTCTCACATTGTTCAATTATATAACAGACAGAAAATTTGTGTTGCCAAAACTAAAAAGCTTTCACGCAATTCAGTGTACCCTAGTTTGATTGATAGACAAAATGTTGCAAACATGGTTGCTGTTTTTAATGAAAAAACTGTTGCAGCATTGAGATTAGCTAATTTTGAGAACACTGCTTGTTTTTTAGCACCAATTGTTTCATTATGAAACATGCTAAATGTAAAGAAGAAAGGTTGTGATGTTTTACCTAATGATATCAATAGGTCTCCTTTCTGACAATCAATGACCTTAGATTAAAAGAAATTTTAGCATTTGCTGATGCAACTTCTAAGATGTCAGAGGGAAAGGGATTAAAGCGTCATAATACTTTAACACCAGAAACAAAGCATGCTTTAGTTAACACCCGACAAGGATTGGTAGAATTAATAAAAAAACTGCTTTCAAAAGATCACCAATATGTTCTTTCTGGTATTTTTCAAACAGATTGTCTTGAAGGTGAATTTGGCATCTACAGGTAAAATTATTTTTGTGTTACTTATAGTTAAGAAAATTTTGTAGATTTGAAATCTAAAAAACAAATATTTCTCTCATTTAAATGTATAATTTTTTAACATGCATAGGAAATTATTTTATCTCAGCAGAACAAGTATTGAACAGTTTGCACCTTCAGCTGTTAAAATTATTCAGCAAAATAGTTTCTTTGGATAAAACTGACATTCATTGCTCACGCATACATTCAGACTCTTGCACAATGGATCTAATGGAAGAGGATATTATTTATTTAGATGAATGTTTAATTAATGCAAACAATGAATCTATTAATGATCAGGAGAATGCTGCCCTTTTTTATATGGCTGGTTATGTACAGCACAAGATCGATCCGTAGCGTGTAGTTGATACAACAACATCACAATCTGCTAGTTCTGAATTTACAGATTATGTTTTACGTGGTAAATTGCGTTATCCTGGTGATACTCTTCTCCAGTTTATTTGTGTTTGTTATCTACTACAGCATTCCAATGTCTGAAAAACGTTTTCAAGTTGTTGTTTATTTAAAGAAATTATTTTTATTCTTGCATTCAACATTACCATTTGATTTAGAAACAGACAGTATAGGTGTTGCGAAAGTTCTCAATAATAACTAACTGTTTCTTGAAAGGTGTTACGACCCTTGATAATACATCTGATATTGTTTCATTAAAGATTGAGGACAGAAAAAGAAAGAAACTTAATACTTAGTGGTCTGATTATTTAGTTGACGTTGGTGATATAATTAATAACGTTTTGAAATGTATTTATGGCTTTATATTTATATGGTTCAAAATTTTTTTATAATTATATATTTATTATTATGATATGAATATAATATAGTATGATAAGTAGTGATTAATTAGTTTATTAACATTGTCTTTAAAAATAATTATTTACAGCTAATTTACGCATAATTTACAGTTTCTTTGTAAAAAGTTGTTTTATTTTTAACACTTAATTAACACAATTTAATTTTTGTTTGAAAATAGTGATAAATAATTGAGCCATAACATTTTTTTATTCATAATTAAATTTTTGTTTAATAATAGAAGTGTTTCGCTTTTTTTTTCATCGGGCCTGTCGTCAAAGCTACATGAAATTAGAGTTTCGCGTCCCGTTGTTCTAGTATTCCCTGTTTTATTCAGAGTCTTGTGTGGCCATATGCTACATTTTCACCTGTTTTTATCAATTTATATATAGTGGTTCTGATTCTACAATTGTTTTTATTGTCGCACTATAAAGTAAAAATTTGAAAATTCAAATTGAACTATTTTCCGTGGAAAAAATTAAAAGATTTCAAAATTTGTATTACAGGGTACCTTGATGTGTACTCTATCAGCCCATATAAGTGGCGTTTTTGGGTCAGCTAGGTTGACGTTATATAACAAAGAATGTTATACATTAGCAATCACAGTTTCACGGACCCTGATAACGTTATCAGGATCCGTGAAACCGTGATTACTAATGTATAACAAAATATTTATATAGATTAGAGTTAAATGATATATAAAATCCAGTTCTATTATTATGAAAATAATAGACAAAACATCTACGAGTTTCCGTGTGTGACTTTTTAGAAATTTTTTTATTATAATGAGGTAGCATAAACTACGCGATACGACTTTTGGATTACTGTAGTAACCAAGAAAAAAAACAAGCAATTAAATAAAAAATAGAAAAACAACTATCAGTTTTCGAAGTAAACAAACGAAAAACAAAACCGCTATAGCCACTGTAGTAAGTATTAACAAATTGAAAGTTAACAAAGCAATTTTAGTTTGTGATTTTGACCAGATTTTTCTTTGAAAAAATAAAACATTAGTATCGAGAAAACAAAAGTTATTTTAAATTTGAAAAAACTACCTGATATACAATTTTCTGTTTGACAAATGTTTTTTTCCTGTAACAACTGTTTGTTTCTTTTTATTATTATTATTATTATTATTATTATTTTGTATTTTAATTAAATATCATATTCTTATTTGATACAAATACTCAAATAAATAAACTAACCATTCATGCGTACCAAGTAAAACTAAAAAGGAATGCAAAAATGTACAATGAAATGCTAAAATTTATTTAAGAATGATAAGAATCTTCACTGTTATTTTTAATAATATATTATATATTTAAATAATATTTCAATATATATTTTTGGTAAATGAAGAATATTATAACGCATATAGTATTGAAATAAAAATATATATAAAAAAATATTAAATGTATATGTTATATGTATATGTTTAAAAATATTATAATTAAAATTTTTTTAAGATATAAAGAATGTAAATCTGTAAAAATATCTACACACACACACACACATATATATATATATATATATATACATATATATATACATATATATATATATATATATATATATATATATATATATATATATATATATATATATATATATATATATATATATATATATATATATATATATATATATATATATATATATATATATATATATATATATATATATATATTAAGGCGGTTCATAAAAAACTTTTTTTTGAAAATGTCCGCTCTAAAGTTGTTAATTTACTTCAATGGAGTACACATAGCTATATTCCAAAAATTCATCAAAATTGGTTCAAATCTTGACCCTCCTCCATTGATTTGAAATTTCTGACTTTGCGCAACAGGAAAATGGCCCAAAAAACAAGGACCGCTTATTTTTTTATTTTACTATATACAACATAGTCTATAATAAAATAAAAATATATTTTTTATTAAGGAAAAATATGACTATTTTGGGATAAAATCCTTCTTTGATTCCTGCTTTGGATATTTGCCGCGATTCACCATTGATGTTTTTATTGTTGAATCCCTTCGCTTCGTACCTACTACCTTCTGACTGTAACCTCCTTCACAGCTCGTTCAACCATTTGGGTGTGACATTTAAATTTTAGTACAATGAAAGGCTCTGCTACCAGGGCCAACAATTCGCTATTTGACATGTTCCTAATCAAAGGAGGTTCTAGTATGTCAGTTTCACTCCACTTAATCATTAGGTGCCACTTTGATGCTTTAAAATTCAGTTCAGGCACCCGGAAAAGACGTACAAAAGAAGCTTGATCTTGGTGATTAGCTCTGGCTTCAATGATTGTTTGAACAGCATCTATGCAGTCTGGCTTATTGGATGAGGCTAGTTCAGCTACCAAAATATTTTCTGGATGGGCATAAAAAGCGTTCCGTTGAATGCAGCACTGTACGATCTTCTTAGCAGCTCCATCTTCAATTAACTCAGATCTTTGCATTAGGAAAAGATGATTTTGAGGACCATTAATCCCAAGCTCATAAAACTTCACAGTAAACCACATACGAGCATAAACATTCACAATATATCCAGTCAAAATGTTTAAAACTGTTGATGGTTTTGTTGTACTCGCATACAGCCTACAGATACGGCATGCAGTCGTAAGCCATCTACTGTGGCTACATGGTCCAATCTTCAGACGCCCTAAATCCTTATCAAATTGCCCTGAAATGAGCGCTGATTTAATTTTCCACATGTATTTCTGGTCTGACGACAAATCCTTCCAAACTTCGTCGGGCATTTTAGATAGAGGTTTAGAACGACCGAAGCGTTTGTATTTGATGACAGGATAATTCAAGACATCTGGTAGTAACTTGCCAATAGGTCCAGCAAAAGTGTTTGCTTCTGCAGTTGGACCATCCAACTCAATGATGATGTGCCTTAATGGCAACTCAATCGCGTGCACAAGGCAAAACATTTCATTGTTAAGCACGCCTAATGCTTACTTCAATCAAATAGTTTATTTCCTTTCCTGCTCCAACATTTGTGTTAGTGCCATCACATGCCAAGGCTTCAATTTGATCAATTATGTTTTTTTTGTAGAAACTGGACAAGAAATTTAGAAACAGTTATAGCTTTACCATCGGTTGGTGATACATGACCCAGGAACTTTCGATCAGGGAATGAAACTATTGTAACATGTTCTTCAGTTTTCCTTGATTGATAGTGTTTCTCACCTACTCTCTCTTTCGTTAAAGTCACATCTTTTCGACTATCGTAACCAATTCCGCACTAATGGTACTGCATCGTCTTTTTCTAATATTACATTAACAGCTCTGCGAACTTTTGATTTGTCAACTATTTCGAGAATATTGTATATACGAAGAGTGGCATTAACAATCGAAGCAGTTACTCTATCAGAGATCAAATTACGCACCTTTGCTTCAGCTATCTGTCAAAGATCTCTTCCTCGATTGTTCAAAGCAACTTTTACAACAATAGCAGTACTTGAGGCTGAGGTCGATGTACTTGGTTTATTCTGGAAGTCCGAATCTGTATTAATATCCAGACTTGTAGTACTGTTATCTTCCTCGGAATTTTCGTCCTCATCCCTGCCAATTTTCACACTCACGGAAGCAACAGTTTCAAATTGCGATTCTCGTTGTTGTCGTTCTTTTACACTCCTGGTGTCGTCGGTTTTCTTACTTAATTTTTTCTGGTGTTGTACTACTTATGATCAGCTTTCGAATAGATTGCTGATCTTTGAGAAAATCTCTCTCCATCCTGGGAACATTCTCATTATCAACAACTTCAAAGAAACCAGAAATTTATTTGCGAAACTCAAATTTCTTATTTTTAAAGTAGTCTGAGAGATCATTGGGCTTTGGACACTTTGGGTTCTTATACCTTCTGGCAGTTGGTATTCGAATTATACTATGACGCTTTTCAAACTTTGAGAAGACGGTCCTTAATCGTGTCTTTTCTAACTGTTGGTAAGGATGCACCTTTATAAACGCTTTCAACTTGTGACACAATAATCTCTGCAATAATAGAATTATCAGGTTCTTTTTTTCCAGAGATTTCTATCATCCATTTTTGTTTCTCATACAAGAAGCTTCTAGCAATATCTAATTCTGTTGGAAGTACGCTTACAGGCAGTTCTGCCGGCTGACCAAAGGCAAGCTGATCTGTTGCCATTCGGGTAGATATTTTTGTTAAACCTGTCATTATAATCTGTGAAAAAGAGAGAGTATTGATATTAAAATGCATACTATGAGAAAAACGTGGATCAAACAAAGATGCTATGTATGTTAGTCATGGAATTATATCCTGCATCTTTTATTGTTCTTTAAAAACATTGAAATTCCTACTTAATATTGTTCAATTTGTAATAAAGTGAAAAATATTGTAGTTTTTTCGGCCATTTTCCTATTGCGCTAAGTCAGAAATTTCAAATCAATCGAGGAGGGTCAAAGATATGAACCAATTTTGATGAAATTTGGAATATAGCTATGTGTACTCCATTGAAGTAAATTAACAACTTTGGAGCGGACATTTTCAAAAAAAAGTTTTTTATGAACCGCCTTATATATATGTACATATATATACATATATATGTATTAATGTATTAATATATATGTATATATATATACATATATATATATATATATATATATATATATATATATATATATATATATATATATATATATATATATATATACATATACATATATATATATATATATATATATATATATATATATATATATATATATATATACATATTTATATATACATATATATATATATATATATATATATATATATATATATATATATATATATATATATATATATATATATACATATATATATATATATATATATATATATATATATATATATATATATATACATATATATATATATATATATATATATATATATATATATATATATATATATATATATATATATATATATATATATATATATACATATATATATATATATATATATATATATATATTCAGTAATACTGAATATATATATATATATATATATATATATATATATATATATATATATATATATATATATATATATATATATATATTCAGTAACTGCACATACGTACTCCACTACCCCGAATAAAAATGATATATCATCCAAAATATCATAAGCGCTAAGTCTCTTAAAAAATATTTGTTTCTTAGACGTGTTGCCCTTCCAGAGTCTTTTTTGTTTTTTGAAAAATATTCGTACAGTGCTGGGTAAGAAAACCAGACAGCACAAGCTGCCCCCAAAATTTTAACAGTCCTTATAGGTCCCAAAACTTGTCCTTTTTTTAAGATTACTATTCCTTTATCATTGGAAATATTTGAAATTTCTTTTTGACTTTTGTTTGATTGGTGGAATATTGCATACATTTTGTCAAAAAATATTTTGAAATAATTTATTTGCTTAATAATATTTATGGAATTATCCAAAGCAAGTTGTAATTGATGATTTAAACAGTATCGAGTAATAATGTTAGGAAAATGATAGCGTATTCTACGCCTGATTTACATCTTAACATAGTACTTGTTCCATGGGAACAAAATCCTATAAACTTTTTTTTTTTATATTCTTTAGAGATCCCGAAAGAGCATAATTATTTGAGAATTTCATTGTATATTGTTTTAGCATTTTGAGCTTCTAACTCTAGAAAATCTATAAGCTCCAACTTCCAGATGTATTTTATTTTTAATTTGAAGTTCAACTATTTTTTTCCATATTAACAAATTGTATATTTTTTTTTACCAAGCTACACGGTGTTAAATATTTTACACATTATATTAATCTATTTTTTGTTTACTTCGTCAACGATTTTAAAAGCAGCATTAATTTTTGCATGTTGTGTATTTTTTAAGACCATTTGATGAACTTTTGAATGAAAGTGTTTTTTTATTTTCTTCCTCAATGTTACCTAAAAGATAACTTTTGTCTTAACTGATAATTCAATAAAAGAATTTTGCCACTCTTTTAAAATATGGAGTTCTTTTAAACTACGTATGTTCAATGATTTAGTTCCTGTGCAATAAAAACATCCTAGTTTTTTATTATTTGCAAAAGGCCATCATATTTTATTTTGAATGATTCATACTGCATTTTATTTATACAATCGTGAAAATTGTTTCCAGGAATACAAATGATTTTGCATCGATT